TATAATAACGGAGGCTCATGTGTGCTTGAGCCTCTGTAATTTCGGAGGCCTCAACATGTATTTTTTTTTTATTTTCTATTTTTTTATTGGCTCTCAGTACAATAATTTAATTTCATTTAATCAACTTAATTTTTTTAATATTTTTAAAATAAAAATACATAAAATAATGGAGGCTAACTCTTTCTCAATTTTTACACGCTACAACCATACTTCTCTATTTCTCCACACCATCTCTTTCACCATTTTCTCACGCTATCAATCATGTATCTTTAGAAAGTTTATATTTGAGCACATAAATAAGTTTAAATAAAAACATTATTTTTATATATGTACGTAAAAGGTATATAATAACCATTTGGATGATCAAAAAATAATATCAATCAAAATGTTTACGAGCCTTTTAAATAATAATTTATTGAGGGGGTTAATTCAAGAGCAAAAGTGTGAATTTCATAAATATTTGATTGAAAATATGTTTGAAAAAAAATAAATTTTAAAAAATGAAGACCAAATATGTTAACAAATGAATAAATTTATTTTTTGAGAAATGAGTTTTTATTACCATTTCATTTTTATTATGAAATGATTCTAATCTTAATATGTTATATTGTGCTTCAAAATTACATAATCTATCAAATATAATTTTTAAAATTAATTTTTATAAAGTAATATATTTTTATGATTTTTTTTTTGGAAGGTGAAATATAATAGTACTAAAAAATATAAAATAATTAAATTTTTATTAATTTTAAAAAATACACATATTATGGAGGCTCAACATGGAGGCCTCATGGCCTCTAGAATTCTGGAGGCTCATGTTTGAGCCTCCGTAATTCTGGAGGCCTCCGTAATATAACGGAGGCATTATTATGAACATAATGCCTTCGTTAAACGGAGGCTTATGCTTGAACCTCCATAACATTACTTTACTAAAAAAAAAATTCATAAAAATATATTACTTTATAAAAATTATATTTGATAGATTATGTAATTTTGAAGCACAATCTAACATATTAAGATTAGAATCATTTCACGATAAAAATGAAATGGTAATAAAAACTTATTTTTCGAAAAATAAATATATTTATTTGTTAACATGTTTGGTCTTCATTTTTTAAAATTTATTTTTCTTCAAACATATTTTCAATCATATATTTATGGAATTCACACTTTTGCTCTTGAATTAGTGTGGAAAAATAGAGAAGTATGACTGTAGCGTGTAAAAATGGAGAAAGAGTAAAGAGGGGTTTATGACATAATCCTCCACGCCGCTTAAATTGAGGAAAAGCAACAAAGTCACTGTATCAAACACGTAAGATAAACGACGTCGTTGCTTTCTCTCAATAAAAAAAAAAAAAAGAAGATACAGTGAGACAAAATTGAAAAATCTACTGTTCTTTCTATAATAGTGAAATATTGCCATTTTTATATAGTAGTGATATAACTCATGAAAGCAATAATTTTCTATACTGTATGTATATGCAAAAATACGACAGAGACAAAAAGGTTTAATTGAACATGATTTCTTTTAATTTTGTCTTCCAAAAATTAAAGCAATCTAACAAGGTAAGATAACAAGGTGTGATTGTTTTATCCCGTTTAAATTGCTTACTTTCATATTGTTGAATTATTATCCCTATGAAAGTTTAAACATATGATATGAGATGTGTGTTATGGCCATTCGGTACCAAAGCTATTATGTTTATTGAATTTTTATCGATTTCTAAAGATATGATAATCGTATAATATTTGACATATGTATTTAAATATTTTTATTCGAGATTGCACCATTATTCGTGTCTTACTGAGTATCCTCATGTGCTTACCATTTTCCTCGTACTCTTTAAAAATTAGAACGGGTCATTGGCTGGTGAACAATGAGATGCAGTTGTGGTGCCAGGAGTTATGGAACCCAACAATAATAATTCAGTGAAATTCGACTATGGATTTTATTTCAGCATTTGTTTTAGTTATGTTATTATTGTGGAAACTGTTATTTAGAGTTAAGAACGTGTTTGTTCAGTTACATTTCCTATATGTTTTATTTATCTTTGGTGGAACAAAAACTTCCTGTTGAGATGTTTGATAGATTTATTTTAATTATGGAATGAAACCTTTAATAGTGATCTAAATTTTAAAATTCGGATCATTACCCAAAATCTGAGATACTCTCTCAAACACAGACTCTCTCTAAATGCTTGATTTTCTCTTCTCTCTCTTCTCTCTCTCTCTCTCTCTCTCTCTCTCTCTCTCTAATCTTGAAGGTTTTTTAATTGGTACAATTCCTACTAAAATTGGTATTTTAATTTTATAGATTATGTAGAAATAAGATGATGTTTTAGGTTTTACAATTGAACAAAGATTCCAATGAATATATGAGAATTGAATAGCTGTATAAAAATGGAACTTTTTTTTGTACCATTTAGTGGGATTTTTGTTAATAAATCATTAAATTTAGATCAAAATGGAGAACAATATAAAAATAACTTAATGATATTTATTATTTAACATCATCGAGCCAGTTTATGTGACATTTAATGAGAGATCGAATTAAATAACTTAATTGTACCTCTCATTGAGTTTATCACATCACGTAATCTAAATTGGTGTTGTAACAGCATTTGCGTGAGATAGCATTATTCTTTAAAATATGGAGGCAAATGCAAGCTGTATCCACGTTTCATTTGTGGAGTTCCAAGAATTTTAGTTACAACTAATGACATGAATGTACCCGGAAATATTCCCTCGTAAACATAATTGTAGTGTAATAATGAATAAATTAAGAGACATTTGGTGAATAATAATAATGACTTTTTTTCTTTTTGGGGGGAAATTATATGATGATCTTTTGGGTCCACCTTACCAAATACATCATTATTATATTAACAATGATTCTCCTATTTTCAAATTTAGTAAATGTCTAACCCTAGAGAAATTTTTTACAAGGCTTTAATTTTGAGGTTAAGAAGAATTATTGCTCACTCTACTTAATAGTTTAGATTGGTCGATGCAAAATTTGATACAAATTTTGCTTGCTCTATTAAAAATATTTTAATAGGAGGGTGTTAAGAAGAAAATAGTTAGATCTATAGTGACTTGTTCTATATTGGTTTTCGGGATCGTTCCTCGTACTTGTAAATTTGATACACTTATTTGACAAATAATCGTAACATTCAATTTAAGTCAATTCAACACTCAATATCTAATAAATCTCAAGTGGTCATAAAAAAACTTTCCTATAATCTTAATGAAATACATATTGAATGTTGGATTGAACAATTATTTGTCAAATAAAAGTGTCAAATTTTTGAGTAGAAGAAACAGTCCCGATTAGTTTTTATGTTAACATAAAGACAGTTGCCCCCAGGGCACATCTCCAAGTGGTAAAAGAGGATGGTGGAGAAATTCAGTTTTACTTGAGGCTGCCGCGTCAAGAATTCGAATCCTGAAATATGGATTTGGCTCTTGAGTAAGTGTAAGTGTACAAGTAACCTTCCACCCTGTACCCTTGGAGGCATAACCTGCGATTTACCTCTCTCACTATCCTCTAGGACAGAGACGATGGGAGATCCTTAAAGTTGGGGTTCAACCTTTTAAAATAAAGACAACTTTGTAATTTACTATCATCAAATAAAATATGAGATATTCTCTCACTCTCTCACTCTCTCTCTCTCTCAAAGCTTGATTTTCTATTGTTTCTCATTCTCTCTCTCTAATCTCGAAGGTGCTTTAGTTGGTAGAATTCCTACTAAAATTGGTATTTTAATTTTATAGATTACGTAGAAATAAGATGACGTTTTAGTTTTTACAATTGAACAAAGATTCCAATGAATATATGAGAATTGAATAGTTGTGGAAAAATGGAACTTTTTTTTGGTACCATTTAGTGGAATTTTTTGTTAATAAATTATTAAATTTAGATCAAAATGTAGAACAATATATTTTAAAATAGCGTAATGCTATTTAGTATCATTGATGTGAGTTTAGATGACACTAATGTGACATTAAATGAGAGGTGGAATTAAGGGCCCATTTAGTAGTGATTTTGATAATTAATTTTTTGACAGTTAGGAAAAAAGTGGGACCATATATGAGTGAAAAAGTAAAAAATGACGGTTGAAATAATAAAATAACGATAAAAAATTAATCTTTTGAGGTGAAAAAACACTACCAAACGAGGACTAAATAACTTACTTAATTTTACATGTCATTGAATTTATCATATCACGATATCTAAATTGGTATCATAGCATTACATAATATTATACTTTAAAATATTGAGGCAAATTTAAGCTATATCCATGTGTCATTTGTGGAGTTCCAAGTATTTTATTTACAACTAATGAAATGAATATCCCCTGAAATATTCCCTCGTAATCATAATTGTGATTGTAATAATTAATAAATTAAGACATATTTGGTGAATAATAATAATGATGACTTTTTTTAAAAATAAAATAAAATTATATGATGATCTTTTGGGTCTATCTTACCAAAAACATCATTAATATATTAACAAGTGATTCTCCTATTTTAAAATTTAGCAAATGTCTAACCCTAGAGAAAATTTTTACAAGGCTTCAAATTTGAGGTTAGGAAGAATTATTGCTCGCTCTACCTAATAGTTTAGATTAGTCGATGCAAAATTTGTGCATGGAAAGTTTTATTTTATTTTATTTTAAATTTTTTATTGTTCTTTATGTACGTGAACACTCTTAAGCAGAACATTTTAATGACTTATATTAAGATTTGCAAAATTGGTTTATGTAAATATTTTTTCTTGCTCGTTTTTTAATCCTATTTTGATTTTCACGAAACTAGCAAGGAAAATTGAAATTTTAAAGTTAAAGAACGATGAATAATTAATTCCATATTAACTTTTACCCTATAGAAACTCGACTCAGCAAAAATTAAGAAAATGAAAAAAAAAAAGTTCAATTTAAAATAAAAAATAAAAAATAAAAAATGTATCTTCTTAAATATCACAAAATCAGCACCAGCTCTATACATCCTAGTCACTCTCACACTAGTTCGGTACTCTCTTCATCGTACACTTCATTCTGCTTCTACATTCTTCCAATCTTGTTTTTATCGAAATCCCAGATCAAAAAAATGCAGTACAAGAATCTGGGTAGATCGGGCCTGAAGGTTTCACAACTTTCATATGGCGCCTGGGTGACTTTCGGCAATCAGCTTGATGTCAAGGAGGCTAAATCCATCCTCCAGTGTTGCAGGGATAACGGTGTTAACTTCTTTGACAACGCCGAGGTTTATGCTAATGGCCGGGCCGAGGAGATCATGGGTCAGGCTATCAAGGAACTGGGATGGAAGCGATCGGACCTCGTCATCTCTACCAAGATTTTCTGGGGTGGACAGGGCCCGAATGACAAGGGCCTATCGAGGAAACATATCATAGAAGGGACGAAGAATTCGTTGAAGAGGCTTGATATGGAGTATGTTGATGTGCTGTATTGTCACAGGCCCGATATAATGACTCCCATCGAGGAGACTGTGAGGGCTATGAATTATGTGATTGATAAGGGCTGGGCTTACTATTGGGGAACTAGCGAGTGGTCGGCTCAGCAGATCACGGAGGCTTGGGCAGTGGCGGAGAGGCTGGATCTCGTGGGCCCCATTGTTGAGCAGCCTGAATACAATCTCTTATCCAGGCACAAGGTAAAAATATATATTGGGATAACTTTTAGAGAATTTAGATGCAGTTTATTTGTTAATTTTGATGCAATTCTTGAAATGTTTATAAAGATTTGTTATGAAGTTTATGCTATCATTTTATGAGGGTTATTTTTTGCTGAGTTTTTCTGGGTGAAGACGTTATAAAGTAAAGCCTTACTGTTTGTGAATTGTGATGCATTCTTGACAAGTTCTTTTCTCGAACTTTTTGAAGATATGTTTTGGGTGTGGATGATTTTCTGCAGTTATTCATTAAAGTATCCTTTTGAGGGGGTTATTGGAGTCAATGAGCTACTTATCCTTTGCGCATTTTTATTACTTTTTGTGGAGATATTCCATTTTGCAATATCTTCTTTCCTGACGCGGATAATTTCTTATTTATGTGATATAATGATCTTATATTGGAGTATAATATGTCATTTTGTTCAAAGCTGAGGATTATGAAAGATTTTTCTCTAATTGAACATTGCAAATTTGTTATGATATTATCGAATAAACATGATTAAGCAAAGAAAGACTGCTTCCTTGTCTGCTTTGTTGTTCCGTCGCCATCATTCTCAGCCTATTGGGGAAAAGAAGGGGGGGGGGGGGGGGGGGGGGGTATGTTTTCTTGTCTACAATTTTTAACTGAACTTTCTAGATTTTTAGAGATCTGCACTGCACGTGTATACAAGCTCTAGCATTTGGAATTTCAAACTTAAAGCACAGGCTTCTCTCTCTTTTACGCTCGGGCTCTTTAAAATGGTCGGAGTAGACATGACACGGGTTACGGGATATGTGTCGAATCCTTCGGCAAGACACAATGCTGTTTTTGCTTATTTCTTTTTTTTTTCCTTCCACTTCATTTTTTCCCGTCTCTGCTCTCTGTAAACCTAGCATTGTTGTCGAGAGGTTTGAGAAAGGCAACAACGTCAGTTTTCCCTCCTCCTCCTTTCTTTTTTCTTTCCCTTTTCTTCCTTTTCCCCTCCTTCTTTTCGTCTTTGTATCAATGGTTTAGGGTTTTATTTTTATAAAACGAAAATGGTTTAGTGCTCCCACTAAGTCCAAATTGCAATCAAGTCCCTTCTTTTTTCTCTTTTATATAATATTTAATAATTAACTTCTTATAACTAAAAATTAAACCCCAAAATTCTGTTTTATTTGTCTAACCCCTTATTGAGTACATGTTTCCTTTTTTGTAAACAATTGATTTTTGTCTATTCAAAATAAATGTTGGGTTAGTGAAAAAATTTGATGTTTGAAAGACGTATTCATGTACTCGCGTCTGAAATTTGGATTATTTTTTATCTATGTCTATGTATCCTACATTTTAAAAAATTGAAATATTTGACACTCAGATACATATTCATACTCAAGTCCGAGCATCACTATATATATTATCAGTCATTCAAAATTTAGTCTTCCAACCACAGATTGTGAACCTCACTTTAAGGGTACCCTTGTTTCTGAATAAATGTTTGGGAGTAAGCTGACTTATCAAGTGATAAGGATTTCAATATCAAATTATGAATGGAAAAATTTTGCACCATTACTTTTGTGTGAATTTTTGCTGAATCTAGTTTTCGAACTGTGTAAATATTACTGGCTTCTGATATTAGTATCAAAGTTCTCTCTGTTATGGCTTAAGTAAGCTGTTTACTAAATAATTTCTTTTCCTATATGTATCTGGTCAAATATAATTCTGGATTGAATTGAACTCTGCAGGTTGAGTTGGAGTATCTCCCTTTGTACAATAACTATGGTATTGGTCTTACAACATGGAGTCCACTTGCATCTGGCGTTCTGACCGGAAAGTATAACTCGGGAAATATTCCACCTGATAGTAGGTTTGCCTTGGAAAACTATAAGGTAAAACTTGAATTTGAAAGTTTGTATTTCCAGGTTTAAAATTTAATCGACATTTTGCTTCTCTTGGAATCTTCAAGTTAATTTTCACAATATTTGTGTAAAATTTCAAAATTTTGGCTTCCGGAAGTATCATATTTGTTTGCTTGTATTGGTCTATTGAACTTGATTACATCTAAAGAACTGCATGGAGGGAGTGTACACTTTTGTTCAAGAAGTATGTTTCTAAACTGGCTTAGAGACTTGTAAGATACACTTAAATGGATACTTAATTCTTGTGGCTGGATTGGTTATTTCATCCATTCATTTATCATTGCATCTTCTCTACAAACCTTTAAATTAGAGCAATGTTGATGTACACAAAATCCTTAACAAATCAAAGTCTTCACAAGTTTGAGAGAAGTTGGCATTGATGTTCCTTGAGAAGTTTTCCATCGTTTTACCTGTGCACTTTTTAAAATCTCTCCCTCTCAATGTTAGAGATTAGCCTCCGTTTGTCAAATTTATAAATGGTTTATAAAGAGGAATGGTAGTGAGTCTCACAAAATGTGTGGATTATATTGAGTAGTAGCTATGAATATGTGGTTGAATTAATGTTTGACTTTGATTGAATTTATAAACAATTTATAATGTCCTTTCCAAAACGGAGGCTTAACTTCTTGCTGGAGTTTCTTTGAAGGCATGTTAGTTTTACAGTCTACCCATAGACGTACTTTTTGTGTATTAATCTTTGGTATGGCCCCAACCCCACCTTGCCAGGATCTTTTTGGTGCAAGCTAAATTCTGATTTTGTTCTATGCAGAATCTAGCTAGCCGATCATTGATAGATGACGTGCTAAAGAAAGTGAATGGGTTGAAACCAATTGCAGAAGAACTTGGCGTGCCTTTATCTCAACTTGCTATCGCGTGGTGTGCTTCAAATCCCAATGTCTCCTCTGTTATTACTGGTGCCACCAAAGAGTCTCAGGTCAGCTTAATCATTTGTTCATATGCTAGGAAATTCTCTTTTTTCCAAGAGATTAAACTCAATAGTAAGTATAGGTAGAAATCAAAATAATCTATAAATATCTTTATTTGGTAGAGATTTTATGCCTATATAATCTTTATTTATGTCTTCAACTAATAGAGATTTTATGCCTATATAATCTTTATTTGTCTTCAACTAAAACAGATTCAAGAAAACATGAAGGCTATTAATGTCATTCCACTGCTTACACCTGCGGTGCTGGAGAAGATCGAGGCTGTTGTTCAGAGCAAACCCAAGCGTCCCGATTCATATAGGTAGATATAATTTGGAACCAATCTATTGGCGTCGCGCCCTACCAATTATCATTTTCCATTGTGTGCAAAAGAGTTTTCGTATTTTGGTTTTTATCGAACACATGTATTGTTAAAAACTAGTTTTCGTTTTCTGAATTGGTATTTTGGCCGTTCATTTACATTTTTCATGGTGACTGGATTTCTTTTGGAGGTTATTATGGCATTTGAAGTTAATTTTGCTTAACCTTTGGTTCTTTCAATTGTACCTGTTCCGGTTCGAAATGACAAGAACCGGGCAACAGTAGAAGCCTAAGAGAGGAAGGGGCAGGAACGCTCGACCCTTGAGAAATTAACAGATTATGTTCTCTTATTCTCGTCAAATCAGAAGAAAAGTTTCGAACAGTCATCACCAAAATGAGTCTAGACCGGCCGTATAAAGAAGTTTGGTTTGCCATAAATTGAACCTACTTTAATCAACACTACAATTTATGAAAGATTGGTGCACATTTATTTAGCCCCACTTGGTTTCTATTTTTCCAAAATTTATTTTCTAAGCTCATTTTTAATCACACATTTCATAAGACGTGCAATTTTTATTAACCTGTTAATCACACATTTATAACTTTTATCAAAATTTACTAAAAATCTAATTTTTAACCATGTTAGATGGGGATTTAATTTCTTGCAGATATATTTTGTTAGTTTTTATAATCATCGAAATGTCAAATTTTGGTAGACAAAGTTCAAGTACCATGTGTTGAAGTCTACGTTTCAATATTTCCAAACTCCAAGAATGAGTAATAACAATTCCTAAAAAAGAGCAATTTCAAACCCATTAAGTCTCAAAAACTCTTGGTACTAGCTTTGCCAATAAGCGCGCCAGAGGGGCTGATGTCCTAATATGCGCCAGAGGGGCAGGATTTAGCGGTCCGAGCTAGGCCACCCAAGACACTTTACACCCCTACGCAAAATTTATATCTCATCTATAACCAAGAGTATAACCATGAAGTACTCAAAAAACGTAAGTATGCTCCCTTCGAGTATAGAGAAGTGAAATGTTATTCCATGAAACCGAGTTGTTGCTTGAGAACCTCATTATGCTTGCAATGTAACAGCAAATCCACCTGAGACTCAGCACCTATCAAGTAATAGATGACTTGCAAACTGGACAAGATGTTCTTCTCCTCAACCATAGATCAATGCACTGTCATGTTTAGAAAAAACGTAAGTCATATAGCACTTTTCAAGGTCGAGTAATAACACGTGTATCATAGAATTTCGTACATCTTTGTGAAACTTGTGTAAACAGGGGAGGTGGCGAATAGTGTCTCCTATGATCGGAGTTTCAAGACAAATTGCACAAGGTTCTTCAAAGTTAGCGTTCTGCACAAATAGTTCAACAGAGTAATTGAGCACAAGTACAAAGCGCAAGTAATGAAAAATAATCTGCAGATAGTTTCATTTCTTTACAGATAAAATCATGAAAATTACCTGAACTGTTGATTCTGGGAGGCCATTAATCAGGTGTGTAGATGCACCACCATGCTGATCATTGTTATCGTCAAGAGCCAATAACATTTCATAGTCGGTTCTATCAAATGCCAGCAAGAAAAATTAGATGCTAGTGGGAAGTTTCTTCAAATTTCATATTTTGCATGAACTCCATCTTGATTCTACATAACCCAAAATGCTGGCTCCAAACTACTAGTGCAAACTTATAGCATTCATAAATTAACTCCCCTTGTGACATTATCGACTAAAATTATGTAATAAAACACACAAGACCTCATCCTTAATGTGTCTTGTAAGCTCCAGGACTAAACACAAAACATAAGGACTTGAGGAAAAAGGTTCATGCAAATAGTGAGAGGAAATTTTTCACTACTGTTGCCGGCCCCATCAATACATCTCACCCAATTGACTGACACACAATATTAGTTCCGACAAGCATGAAGGGCGTAATGATATGGGCTATGTATAAAAACAATAATTGCCTTGTTTGAACCCCATTTTTGGGGAAAAAATGAATTTTTGAATAGTGTATTAATGAAAAATGTGTGGTTAAAAAATAAGTAAAAGTTTTAGATTTGCATGTAATATTATTTTATTGAAGAATGTGTGGTTGAAATGATGTCAAAACACTGTTTAAGGATGTATTTTTTTGGAAAGAATGGGGCTCAAACAAGGGCAATATAATCAGGCTCAAGCAGGTTTTCCGTGCTAATTCCAAATTTTATCTCAAATTACCCTAACAAGGTAAACAGTTGGAGTTGGTTTCAGCAGAGAGCCTGAAAAACCTTGCAATTTCTGTCTTTAGATGAAACAATGAGGAAGATGAGGAAAACGACATAAAACAGTATATCATGAAGACAAAACCAAAATGACTTTGTTGAACTCTAACAGGAACATTACATGTCAGCAATTAATGGATTCTTACACCCATAAATCATCCTCCTTCGCCAAAAATAAGATACTTGTCAAACCTGAAGGTTAGTTATGTAAATTACATGCAATATTTCAAAATATGCACCAAATAAATCTTACTCGTTGAAATCACGATGTATTTGAAGGGCACTCCTATCCACTCCCATGTCGCTGAAAGCCTCCAATGTTTCCAGTATATGCATCCTCTGCATTCATGAAAAGCAGAACAAGATGTTATCAGAAACTAGTCTATGATTATATCTGCATCCAGAAAAAAAAGGCATATTTAATAGAACACCATACAGGCTTACATGTAAAAGAAAGAAGGTAAAAGAAATATCTTCAACTTCTAATATTTCTCCATATATATACACAATGGAATAACTAAAAATAACTTCTCCCACTAGAAATAAATAACTATAATGTCATTTCTACAACCATAGATATTGTATCCAATAGCTCTTCCAAGGAGCTTCAGTGCTTCAAATAAAAAAATGAATTATCACTACCCAAATTGATCACAAATCCTTAGTTATAGCCAGGAGTTCCTCTGATAAACCAATTATTGATTAAACTACAATTGGTCTGTTAAAAGGGATAATTTCTTCCTTCTCCATTTTTCTTAAAGATATTTCAAAGGGAGGGAATGTCATCCTAAAATTGATAGACCCCCGGTTAAATTCACATATGTGAGAAGGAAGAAAGGGCAGAATGCAGTTAGTAACAACCCAGCTGGGGCACCAGAACAAAGGCAGGCAATCCAGGGCAGTTAGTTAGTTCAAAAGGGTAAAATTAGAATATTGAGCTGGGGCGTGTGTCAATAAATGTAATGGGAGGGAGGGCTATATTTTTCATTCACGATTCTGTTGAGCCTAGTGGAGAGAGACTAGGCCTCTCAAATGCCTTGAATCTCTTCCTCATTTCAGTATTTTCATTCAAGGAATAACAGTTCATTTCTCAGTTGAATTCTTCTTACTTCACAGGGTCCTATCAAATTTTGTATTAGAGCACTGATATTGGGAAAATGACGATCACCGATCGAGTGAATGCATTGGAAACACGAATAGATGGAATCAAGGGGGAGATACAAGAGGAAATAGGAATCATGAGAGCAGAAATTCAAAAGGATCTATCAGCAATGATGGAGCAGTTTGAATTCTTAAGGATTAAATGGGAAGGGATGGAGATGGACCAAAAGGAAAAAGGGGTAGCATCTGGTTCAGGGAACGCAGGGATGATCTGTGGAAAATGGAGAATCAATCCCGTAAACTAGAAATGCCGGTTTTTAATGGGGAAGATCCTGATGGATGGATGGATATTTAGAGCTAAGAGGTACTTCACTATGAATCTATTATCTGACTGGGAGAAAATAGAGGCAACGGCAATTTGCTTTGAAGGGGAACCTCTAGCTTGGTATCAATGGGAAGATGGCTGTCAAGTAATCCGGAGTTGAGAGGAGTTGAAGTGCTGACTGTTGGAACAGTTTCACCCATCACAAGATGGCTCGATTTTGGAGAAATTTCTCCCATTAAAGCAAGAAGGAACCATCAAGGAGCACCGGAGGAGGTTAGAAGTTCTGGCCGATCCGTTTCCAGAGATTTCAGATGATGTGTGGAGGTTAAATTCATTAACGAGTTGAAGGCTCCTATCACATCTGAGGTGAGAATATTGAAACCTCGTGGGTTGAGCCACATTATGGAATTAGCCTAACGAGTAGAAGGCCACAACGAACTGTTGAGAGAGGCCCCCATGTCTTACAGCCCAAATAGAGGCAGAACGAGTTTTTCTAGCCCAACCACTTACAACCACAATTATACCCGTATAACCACGCACCCAGTGTGCACTCCACAAATCCAATAAGCCCTGCTACTCCAAAAGCGACGCCAGTCACTATAATCCAATTGGTGCCTGCAACAAGAGGCATGCCACCATTTAAGAGGCCGTCGGACACCGAGCTTCAACGGAAGAGGGAAAAAGGCCCATGTTACAATTGTGATAAAAAAATATGGGCCGGGTCATAGGTGTCATAACAAAGAGCTCCAAGTTCATGTGGTGCAAGAAGATGACGATGCGGAAGAACGGGAAGAGATAATGGAGGGGGAATAGGAAACTGAGGTAGGGGAAATGGTTGAGTAGTCGATTCATTCGGTGATGGGCCTCACCGCTCCAAGAACCATGAAGCTCATAGGTAAAATTTAGGACAACCCGTATTAGTCATGATTGATTGTGGTGCTACCCACAATTTTGTCTCAACTGGGTCTGCTCGACAATTAGAGCTTCCGATCACGCACACACTGCTAGTTATGGTGTCTTCATGGTAACTCGACTGTCAGTAAGGGGTGGTGGTATCTGTAAAGGAGTAACAATGTCCCTGCCAAGTATTGATGTTGTGGACAACTTCCTTCTGCTGAAATTAGGGTGTACATATGTTATACTGGGAATGAAATGGCTCGAAACATTGGGTAAGATGCAAGTGAACTGGGGTATGTTGAAAATACGATTTAAAATAGCCTATGAATCAGTTGTGTTGCAAGGGGATCCGAGCTTACATAAGACACAAGTCTCTTTGAAGTCGATGTTCAAGGCATAGAAGGATGGGGGTTAAGGGGTACTTTTAGAACTTGGAAGGATGGGTTAAACAGTGAGCACCAGAGAATTCTAGCTCGTTCTTGCAACCGTTTTGAGATGTGTTTGAGTGGCCAAATGAGCTGCCTCCTCCTTGATCTCTAAGATCATGCGAATGTTCTGCAACCTAAGTCGGCCCCGGTAAATGTCAGACCTTATCGCTATCCATAAATCCAAAAAAAATGAAATCGAAAG